ATAAATTGTCATTTTTCTTGATATTCTCATTAAAGAAGAATTATTGATTTTGTTCTCAATAAAAAAAAGAAGAGATATTAATTTATTAATTTTACTAAATGTGGATTATATTATAATTTATTGTTCTTTCTTATTATTTTAAAGAAGAATTCTTAAAATGTTAAAGAGAATGCTGTATACGATGTATACACATGCAGAAAAATATAAAGATAAATATTTATTCGATCATTTATTATAAATCAATTTTTTTTTGCTATGTGAGTACAACAAGAAAATTTACATCATATTTCTCCGGATAAACATATACGCTTTATGTTTCCTGATGTTCGGTTTCTGTCGTTGAAACAGAATAAGATTTCAAAAATTGCATTATATGAGCCAGTCAGATACGAGCTCAACCATGAAATAAAGAAGCTTGTGTAGCCCATATGTCTTTTAAACAAAGTATAATCTACAGATATTCAATATCTTAGATATTGATGGCTTGCTTTTGCATTTTAACTTTTCTCAGAAAGCTATTCGCGACATCCGTTTCCCCTGAGTTGCGTGAAAGAAGTTGAAAAAGTAGCCGAGATTCTTTTCTTAGTTTCGCTAACTGTCCTCGACTTTGAAATTCGACGAGATTACGGCGAGAAAAGGGATATCAAATATCTCGAGTCTTTTCCGTTTTCTATCCCTGTGAACAAGCGAGACAGCAATTTCGCAATCACGAAATTTATTGTCACCGGTTTACACGTTATACACTCGACATTAAGACTTTCCTTATATATATAGCAGATTGTTTTCGCGGAGATACTGGAAAAGCAATCTTTCTGTGGAATATCCTATTATATTGATATTAACCCTTTTTTTAGAAAAATGGATTCATCAGTATTTTACAGCGTTCATGCGCTGTTTAATAAAGGAAGACGTTTCATATTATTTACTCGAAAAAGGGGCTATGAGAATCAGTGCAACGAGAAATGCGTTGTTTATATTCAATGATAAGTCATTCAATTACATAACTTGTAAAATTTAAACTCCAAGTTCCTGCTCCATATATTATTTATTGCTTCTTTGTATCCATTTTATACGTTAATTAAATAAGAAATGAACAGAATTGCTTTGGATTAGATTCAATCCTACTTTCCTAGATATTTTCAAAATTCACCTGATATCGTAAAAGGACTAATCATTTTGGCGAAAAGGTAGTTCTTTTTTTCCTTTTGTTTAAATGAAGGAACACGGACGAGTGAAAAAAAAATTTACATATATTAACTTATATAATGAGAGAGTAAAGTCGATTTCGTCTAACGACGTAACAAACCGTACATTTTTATCGTGCACCATTTCTCCGATCGTACTCAAATCGCCAACGGCCTACTTAGAACCCACCCAGCCAGGCAATTTATTTTCATTTCTCCTAACGATTCTCGACTTCGCCCGCGCCCCACTTTCCACATAGACGACGAATAATTCGAAACCCCTTCGAGAACGGCGCGATTCACTTGGCGCGATCGATCGCGTTAGCGTTACTGCTCCCGAGGAACCTTGTAACGCGATTACGAAGCGAGCTGGAAAACGCGTATAATGGCTTCCGCCGTCTCGGACGACGCGACATCGCCGACGTCGATTCGACAAAGGGAACGTAAGCACCGGATTCTATAACAGTGAAAGATTCTTTTTTATTCGAACGAACGATGTGTAGGCAGCTGTTGCAGCGTGTTCGAAAACCCCTCACTTCCTTTCGCTACCGCAGCATATGTTTTACAAGTTTGGAAAAAAAATGCCCGGATGTGAAACTTTTTAATAAATATTTCATCGAGTTTTGTTTTAGCAACTTTGCACTCTGCTCCGCATATAAAGTTTCATGACCTAAAAATTAGGATTATGTAATACATTATACATTATATCTAGAAGCTTGTGAGATCAACAGAATTATGCATTATACATTACGTCTTGAGATATTCTTACAAAATTGGTACATAATTTTCATTAATTTTTGATACGTCGTAATTTTATCATTTTTTTTTTTTTTTTTTTCCATCTAATATCCACTTCACAGTAAGCAAATTTTTCCACGTCAGAATGCAGAAAATTTAATACGTTAATTATATTTTTATTCACGAGATTAGAAATAAATTTTATATTAAATACAAAACGTTATTTTAACTATAATTTCAAACTAAATTGTAACAATATATTCGTTTAAAAGAATCATAAATTATCAAAGAAAATATCTGGCAGACTCTTCATGCTAAAGTAAACACAGCGTATTTTTTTAAATTGTAAACGGATATTAGTTTAATTGTAATTTGAAGTTAAATTGTGGTTATTTGAAAAAATCTCAAATTATATATATATATATATATAAAAGAAAATAATATCCAACAAAATTCTCTATATAAAAGTAAACGTACTATTTTTAGCGTATGCACTTCCTTCTTCTCTTTTCTTCGATCTCTTTCCTTGCCCTTGCTGCGGATTTGCCGTTGTCACGCCGCGATTGCGGCACAACAGCTCGTAATACGTAAATTTCCACGGATGTATACGCACCGCTGCATGATTAAGAGAGACTCGACTTCCACGAGATGTAGTGACAAGGAACGAAATACGAAGGAGACAAGGGGAGATAACAGAGATAGAGAGGACGGCTTGGTACCGTTTGCATACCGCTGCATAATATACGTAACTGCGTTACGCGGCGTACAATGCGCGCATTAGGGAAGGAATAACGATACGTCGTTTCGCCAGCTTTGCGCTGCTCTGATTTGGCCCTGACGTAATGATGTTCCGCGTCGCTTATTTGTTCCGCCGAAAGCTCCGCGCGACAGAGAGGGCCGGGAACGTGACACATTTTCGGCAGACGAACAAATTTACTGTCTGACTGGCATGTATACACTGGGAAAAAATTGGTTGAATTAACCTGAAATACGCATATAATAACCAGGCCGTTTGTTTTGATTAAAATAACCTGACAAATTTGCTTTCATATATTCTGGTTACGGTAACCGGCTATATATTTAATACTGTATGAATTCTGTTTAAAATTTTTGGTTGAAATATCAGATTTAATAATAACCAAAAATTCTGTTTTGTCCTACCAATACTCAGGGAATGGAAAGTTACTTTTTAAAAATAACTAGTTACAGTTACTCGTTACCGAGTAAAAAATGTAACTAGTTACAGTTACAGTTATCGCTTTTTAAAAGTAACTCGTTACAGTTACCGTTACTTGAAAAATAACTTTTCGTTACTTTTCCGTTACTTTTTTAAAATCAATTTAAAAATGTACTTTTGCATTTTTTTTTATATGTAATACTGACAAATATACAGTTAAAAAAAAAAAAAAAAAAATGTAGAATGGCTCAAATAATAAATTAAATAAAAGTAAAATGAGAAGGGTTACGAGCCAAAAATGAAACAGTTTATTTCCGATAAGAACGACGATGACAATGTAATTAAATGTATAAATATATATTAGAACAATACAAAGATAAAAACAAACGACGTTTCGACACTTATTGTCATCGTCTTTTAAACTGTTTCGCTTTTGGGTTCATAGCCCTTCTCATTTTACTATTATTTAATTTATTTTTTAATTTTTTTTAAACACAATTTTGTAATTCTAAAACCTGTAAAATATGCAGCAAACTGAAATATTTGTATGTCCTATGTATTACATAGAAGATAGAAGTGTAAAATAATTACTGAATCATAACGGCCGAATGTCTAAGGGCTTTCAAGTCTTATTGATAAGCGCTATAAATAGCATGTATCCAATCGAACCGTGTTCAATCGTGTGCAAAGTAACGACAAAAGTAACTGTAAATTTCGTTACCGTTACCCAAAAAATGTAACTCGTTACCGTTACAGTTACCAAAAAAAGAAAGTAACGCAGTTACCAGTAAAGTTACCAAAAAAATAACTTGTAACTGTAACTTCGTTACAAGTAACAAGTTACTTCCATTCCCTGCCAATACTATTGTAAACGTACACGTTACATTAAGCCGTGTTCTTTTTCCCTTGTCGTAGTTACGCAGTAATTAGATATATATTTGAATATTACCATATATACGAACTAACTGGCATCATACCCTGAATGTTCTGGTTGCGTCCCAAAATATTTGATTATAACCAGAAATTCTATTTACCTCCGCCAAAATTTGCTTAATCAAATACATATATCTTGTGAATTCAACCATAACTGTTTGCTCCGTACGTTTTTTTGTTTTTCGTGAATGCAATTTGTGAAATAAGTCAATAAAAATTTTCTCTAAAACTTCGACGAATATCCTACATTTTTTCGCTTTACGATTGACTCCACGACATCTTCGTTACATAATCAAATTACGTGAATCCCATTATAGCTCATCGATGCGACAGTGACTCGAAGTCTGTATGCAGACGATCGTAATTAACGGTCGTATGTACGTGGAAGCCTTGTTGTTTGTCAATGACAAATTCGGAGCTCACTTGATTGAATGTAACACAGCGCACACAACCTATTCGCGGCATATAACGGTTGTCTTACGAGATATTAAGCCATAATCCGGTCATCTCCCGCGTCGCGTAATAGAATTGGTATAGAGCGTCCTGATGAAAACAACAAAAATCGTTGTGTAACAACGCCCGGCCGAGAAGCCGATATACCGGTGGGTCCCGCGAGGCAAGCATATATTCGCTCGTGCATGAAATCTGTTTGCCGGCTTTATCGCTCGCGTAGTTTCATGGCGCAGCCATTTGAAAAATGAAAAAGAGCCCGGCGGCGTACCGAATAACTCTTTACCGCACGACAATTCTTATTGCCTCGCGCGGTCGCGCGTTTTTTTTTTTTTTTTTTGTCGTGCAACACTCGACAATTTATTAGTACGCGACGATTTTCGGTGAAGCGAGAAGATCTTATTATTCCGTCCTTTTAAACCCGTTTTAATTCTGCCGTTGTATTTGCAAATAGTAGTATTGTACGTGTCTGTCTAATATTATCGTAGATTTGTGTTGAAAAAAGTTTCATTACTCACCCTCGGCGACTTGCGTTTATTAGCGCTCTCAACACAGGGAAAACCACCGCACTGAAACACAAAATTTGTCGTGTAATTTTTTTTGCCTCTCGTTTGTCTTTTTCTAATCACGTCTAATAATGTATTAAGGAGCTCTTTAAACTCTTTGGTGTGAATCTCACTTCAGAAGGAGGCGAAATCTCACTCCGAAGAGTTTAGAGAGAAAGAAGACGATTATTGAAATAGGTAAGGAGTTGTAGAACCACGATATCTGGTATAGTTTGTGCTGCATTCTGGAGGCGAACGTCAAAATTACTTCCTCACGGTCTACTTAGACGTTAACATGGTCACTGGTCGTTATAGTATTTATTGCGCTGTCATAAAAGCTGCATTTCAGTTGCAGGTAGTAGACAGTTTTACAGTTGTTTAAATAACTCTTTAAATAATGTTGAAAAATATGTTAATATTAATTTTATAACATTCTGTACCCTTAATAAATAATAAACTAAATCTGGGTCAAATTTAATACACTTTCTTTAATACACTTTTAAGTAAATGAATAAATGATTTAGTTAAATTAAGAACATATATTGAGTATGACGACTTGTCGAAATGATTAAAAATAATTCAAATTGAGTATAATTTAATATTTTGTGAATATTGCAGTAAGTAAAATATTATCTTTGACAGCAATGTTTTATTAAAATCACTATTAACAATTTGAAGCGCCAAGACATCCAAGAAAGGATGTTCGATTTGGAAAAATTTTTACGTGGAACATTGACAGTAACTGGAAAAATTTTTATGTACAAGATACCAGAACCAGAGATAGGTAACATAGATTGGCTTTATGGTAGAATAAATTGTAGATGGCACGTAGTATAAACCGCATTCGAAGCGATAGCTTCTTCATTGCCTTTACTGTAAACGCTGCGACTTCGCAGGATGACTGATCCACACAGTCATTTGGATTTAGCGAACCACCTATCCAAGCTCTACATACTGCCGCCATTCGTGTATATCGTACACATACCTATATATACATTCGTGCTTTTTGCTGTAAAGAATCGAAGCAAATTAAACGTAAGAAAGAGAAAAATAGTAAAAATAAGAAGAACAATAACTCAGATTCTCATATTAGATGGGCGGAAGAAAAATTCATTCTTCTTATCGTTTTTATCGAACAAGAACCGTACGCGTTGCGAGTGTCGTCAGAAAAATGTACCTATTAACTTGCAGTTGCATTATGGAATTGTGCATCGTTAGATGTCAAAGGAGTAATGGTAATCCAATCCCAAAATTAAATAACATTTTTGTTATTTGTGTGTTTTTAACTTTCGCGTGTGTCAAAATGTATATCAATTTCTGTCTTTTTAGTTTTAAAGTAAACGTCTATATTAACGTTTGTGCACTTAATAATAATGAATTATTTGATTTGAGTTCAAATTTAATACATTTTCTTGATTGTTTAACTTCATTGTTTCAGTTAAATTAACGATATATTGAATAGAAACAAATGGCAACCTATAGAATTATTAAAAATAATTTCAAATTAAGTATAATTTGGTATCATGAATTCATAACAACGATGTTTGAGAGAAAGAGAATTTAACGATCGATATATAGAAATTTATATTAAATTAATATTTGTGGCTCCAAGAATAAATCCAGTACAAGTAAAATGCCTGTGTGAGTCTCTGCGATTGTTAGTGCAATAAATGATATATATTCATCAATTATATAATTCATACAAATAATTTAAATGTACTTACCAAATGAAGTTAACTGCAGACGTTTCGACTCTGAATTTGAGTCCTCTTCAGTGCGATAATTAGTGAGGTACAAGCTGGTTTGCAAATTACATATCTTATGAATATATAATTCAGGGCACTAACAACCGCGAAGGCTCACATAGGCGTTTTACTTGTACTAGGAATTCATAGTTACGGAAGTTATACACATCACGGCTATTAATTGATTCTTATATTACAAGTGTAACATTGTACGTGCATTTTTAATAACGTTATTACATTTTATATTGTTATGCGGATCATGCGTTTACAAATCAAGAGAATTCTGAACTGCAATAGAAGACTATAATATATCATATAATTCGATTCACGCTGATCCAAACCATAATTTAACATGACAAATAATGTGGATTTTTTTAATTGAATGCCTGTTCTGACTTTTATTATATACTATAAACACAGTAATAATAATTATACGCAAGCGAACGAAAATAAATCTTCTAATGGAATTTTTTTTAGAAGATATAAGTAGATAATAAATTGAGAAATATCTTTGCTATTACATGAGAAATATTTTGCGAGTTCTTGCCAGGAAGAATAATTCCGACCGTTTTATTTAAAAAATTCCATTATTGAATCATACTTTCCGCGAAACACGTTTATACGCCATTATAATCGCAAAGAAATGCTCGAAATGTCTGTGCAAAATGGTCCCACAGAACTCGGCGGTGTGGCAATAATTCGGTGCGTTCCTCATCCGGCTCGTCTGTTTATTACAGCATACGGTTTGACGATGGTAGGAAACCGCGCGCGCGGGTTTTTCAGCCCCCTCGTTACGCGGGCGGTCGAAACGAGCCGTCATTTCGAAACGCGAGAAGCTCGCGCAACCATACGCCGCGATATACCACGATACCGCAAATGCGGTTTATTATTTTATCGCGACGGGCATAAAAGTGACGAGCGCTCGTACACGATTCCTCCCCGCGTGCGTGCGACGAGCACGATGCACGCGGACAACCGGGTGAAACGATGCGAAAATATCGTCGACTGACGCGCGGCGGTCTTTTTTTTTCTTCTTTTTACGTTGGAACTTAACTCTTAACTCTTTTAACTGTCTAACTGCGGACGCCGTGTATGCAGGAGGAAGTGAGGTATTTACAGTAAAAACAAGTAGAACCTTGAGTGATTAATCGATTAAGGCTTCTTGCTGTTAGCTTGTTACATCGTTATTTCTGCTGCTCCATATGGAAATATTAAAACGAGAGCGGTATTTTGTAATTACAGTGCATTTTCATTCTACGTGTCAATAACTATGAAAAAGCTGTTTTTATATTGTAGTTAAAAAAACGATCAAGCGTTTGTATCTATACATGCGTTAAATATCACATTATGTAAAATATGTATTTTCCGTACAAATTTTCGACAACTTAATTCTGTCAAGCGCTAAATTAATCGGTTTTTATATTAAAAAAAAAAAAAAAAAACGCAAATGCTCATATCTCTGTTTAAAAGTGCGCTTCGATACGAAAACAGTTAATCGATAAAAATGTTTTCTCTCTTGTCTTAAATCTCAGAACAGCTTTAAAAAAAACAAAATACGATTCTATTTTTATACATAACCTTTTTTACATAAAACAATTGTGTTGAAAACAAACTTATGTAAATTTATATGAAATTTACTTCGGTATGCATTGTTCTGGCAAAATGCAATTTTCCTGTCAAAAATATGACCTGAGAAACTCAGAACATGTCGGGATGGTGGACGGAGTTACATGAGGGAAGGACGTGAAGGAAGGACGCTCGGTTTTGTCGATGATTTGCCGAGTGGTCGCGACGCGGAAGAATGGAATTGCTTTCCGCTTCCGGCAAAATTCCCGCCATATTCCCAGGATATGTTACTTCCGATTATATATATATATATATATATGCACCACATGTTTTTAGTTCCATCAAATAATTTAAAATAGTTGTCTTTTTAATAATTAAATGTAAAGTATGAGCATTTATGTAAAATAGAGACTGACGTTAATCAGAATTAATTAAAGAATTAAATGCCTCGAGATGTTTAAATTTTCATGAATGAAAAAGTAACCATAGAGTTCTTTAACAAAAAAAAAACAGCATCACATTACTCCTTCACACTACTCGTTTAAATTTACATTTAATTGTATCACACGAAAAATCTCGAACACGCATAAAAGTTTCAAAGGATGACAATTCAATCCTTTACCGATATCGTTCCAGTCTCCTATCCGCGAAAGATTCACGGTCGAGAAGAGTGGACAGCATTTTATCCTGTTCGCGTGATCCACCCATCGCGATGATTAAGTCGTCCCCGGAGTTTTATTCTCGAAGGACGGAAAAAAGTTTTACAACGAAGACTCGAACTCCCTCTTTCCGTCTAGGACAGAAGCATGGTTTTATCTTCGATCACGTTTCGCGCCGCGATGCGGTCTCATTTGCGCAAAGTCGAGCAGGATAATCGATACGTCTTCGTCCGTTCTCGCCACCTAAAGCCGTTGGGATGTTATTTCTCATCGCTCTCTTTGCCCTTCGTTACACGATCTTTTATTATTATGCTCGTCCAAGGCTAAGAACGATTTACGCGACACCATTTTTCTCTCATCAAGTGAATAACGATTCAAAGATAATGAAAAAAGCTAAAGACGCACTTTAAACGGTTGGATCTTATTTCACGAAGACGCGAAATTTTTTTCTCGATCCGAAACAAAAGATCGATTTACTAATTCTAGAATATAGAAATTAAAGTTATGTAACTATAAATATTTCAAATATTTCGATATTAAATAAATTGTATTTAAAACACAATTTCTTATTCTAATAGAAATTCGAATAACGGCATAAATATAAATAACATAAAAGGAATATAATCTAAATAAAAGCACATTTACTTTATTTAAAAATTTTCGAGTCAAGAAGTTAATATCATAATTTAAGCATCATAGTCCGAACATATAGAAATGTTTGACATTATATGACTTCAAAATGCACTTAATATGAAATATTTGCGGAAAATTAATGACCAACTATCGAATTATATAGACGAGATTATGTCGTTCGCTCGAATCGATTTCCGATCAACACTCCGCTTTACGTTCAATCGTTGACATTTCCCTCAACGAAAACGTCTAACAGACCAGGACATTGACATTGCATTTCAAGTTTCAAGCACAAAGGCTGTCACCGCTACTTCGTGCAGCGATTCGTTTTTAAGTGAATATATCGATCGGCTCGCGCAATTCTCTGCGTATAATAACATCCTGAATAATAATGTAAATGTCACAAATGCAAATTGCCGAC